AGATTTCATGACCGGGATTATGATCTGAGGTGAAATCAAGAGTTAGACACTGAAGAGACTGATGGAAATTTCTCTAGTTCTTCATACCACATCTACCAAATGATCTGCATCTACACTTATTTCCTCTTGTTTGCTTTTATGATGGAAGAGATATCCTGCCTCTTGTCTATAGATAAGTCTTTGACCTGGCTTCTGGATTGAATGCCTTCCTGCCTTTTCAAGGAACTTACTCATTTATTTAATAAACACTTACTGAGCACCCACTTTGTAACAGACACGATCTCCATTCATTGATCAGCTCTTCTCTCTTTTGTGGATTCAACTTCTCTCACTCTACTGGCTCTGTCCCAATGGCATTTAACCATGCTAACGCTCTCTCCCATTGAAAAACCAACTGAACCAACCCAACTGAAAAAGAAGAAAAAAAATCCCTCCTTTCCCCATGCTCCCTCCTTCAGTGACTACCCTATCTTCTCTTCAAAGCCAAACATCCTTTTTTTTTTTTTTTTGCTTTTTATTTTTTTATTTTTTTTTTCTTACAAATAGTTTATTGTCAGGTTGGTTTCCATATAACACCCAGTGCTCATCCCCACAAGTGCCCTCCTCCATGCCCATTTCCCCCCTCCCCGCCACATCCATCAGTCCTTAGTTTGTTTCTCAGCATTCAAGAGTCTCTCATGGTTTGCCTCTCTCCCTTTCCCCCACCACTTCCCCCCTTCTTCTCCCCCATGGTCCTCAGTTAAGTTCCTCCTAATCCTCCTATACGTGCAAACATATGATATTTGTCCTTTGCCTGACTTATTTCGCTAAGCATAACACCCTCAAGGTCCATCCATGTTGCTACACATGGCCAGATTTCATTGTTTCTCATTGCCATGTAGTATTCCATGGTATAGATAAACCACATCTTCTTGATCCATTCGTCCGTTGATGGACACTAGGCTCTTTCCATGTTTTAGCTATTGTTGAGAATGCAAAGCCAAATATCCTTAAAACACCGTTCGTACTTAGTGTTTTCATGTCGGCATGTCTCATTCATTCTAAATTCACGGCATTTTAGCTTCTGCTCTTACGGTTCTAGTAAGAGTGCTTTTGCTGTGACCATCAAAAACCAGAGTGTGGCTAAATTGAATGGAACCAATTCAGTTCTCACTTGGTTTGATCTGGATGCTGCATTTAAAAATGTGGACCACTTCTTTCACAGAGTTACCTTGATACCACATTCTCCCTAGGTCTCTGGTTCATCCTTCTCAGTCTTTTTGCACACTACATTTTGGTTTGTATTTCCCTTACATGTTGATGTTCCTCGGTGTTTCCTGGGCAACCTTGCTTTCTCTTTGCAGCACACAATGGTTGATGTCATCAGCTTTTAAGACTGTAATTATCATCCATATCATGTAAGAAAGATATTTGACATTGTATTGACATGAAGCTGCTGGAATCTCACAGACTGTTTTGTTTAAATAATTCTATAAGGGGAAGACCAAAATAAATCTGTTAATGAACCCTGATTAATAATCTATTTCACGCCAATTAAATACCAGTGGAGTGACAGAAGGGAGTTATTAGGTTTATAGTAGTATCTTAGTCATCACAATGCAGGATATATTTTACAGTGTAGCCTGTAGGGTCAATTGTTACAAGAATGAAGTTTCATGCAATATTGACGTAGTGCATAAACACATTATCATAAGAAAATGAAAAACAAACTTTGCAGTATCTATTTTCTTGAGTTAATGTTGCATTCCAAAGATGATGATGATAATCCTTTTGTAATGAAAAAGTAGACTATCACACACAAAAAGATTCTTTTTGTTCTTCTCAGCAAACTCTCCAGGGATTCATATTAAAATTTTTTAAATGTTCATCAATTTTTGAGAAAGAGAGAGAGACAGAGAGAGAGAGAGCAAGCAGGGGGAGGGGCAGAGAGAGAGGGGAACACAGAATCTGAAGCAGGCTCCAGGCTCTGAGCTGTTAGCACCTGACGCGGGGCTTGAACTCACAACCCGTGAGATCATGACCTAAGCCAATGTTGGACAGCCAATTGGCTGGGCCACCCAGGCGCCCCCAGTAATTCATATGTATAAGGGACAGAACTTGTATACATACATTGAATGTGGCCTTCTTCCCTCTTGACTAGTGCCACATATCCTTAATGGGTTTCTTTTTTTTTTTTTTTTACAAATAGTTTATTGTCAAATTAGTTTCCACATAACACTCAGTGCTCATCCCCAAAGTGCCCTCCTCCATGCCCCTCCCCCGCCACCCCTTAATGGGTTTCTGACGTGATTTTTAAATATTATTAAATCTTCTCCTTTATCTTAAATGCTGTGCTTGTTATTCTACATCTGCATATCGGATATGTCTGCCCTTCTCTCCCTTGCCTTATGCCCTGGAATGCTGTCCTTTAACTATGTCACCTGTGCTCCTCTGGCTTGTCCCATAGGAGGTATACCAGCAGGAGATGCAAACCAGGAAGCCAGCAAGTCAGAGTCTTTCTCCTCTGCCCCTTCCCTGCTCAGTGCCGTATCCCTAGCAGTAAGTA